ATAAAAATATATATTTTTATATAAAAATATATATTTTTATATAAAAATATATATTTTTATATAAAAATATATATATTATATTTTTTTTAAGAATTCTAAATTTCTTCCCCATTAAGCTGTGTCTGAAATAGACGGTCTCAACAATTTTCATCCTATAGTACTGTAAGGGTAAGCAACACCTTTTCCAAAATATCTGCCACATTTAAAAGAGGGATGTAATATTCCATGGGTAACCCCAAATGTTCTGGTGGGCTACAAAAAAAATGAAATTTCTTTCTGGGTTTCATTGTGAGATGAGTCTCTTAGTTGACACTCTTCCTTTCTATTTGTCTTTCCTTCTTCACTGGCAGACACAAACTGGAGCTAAACAGAGAGAGACTCAATAATTATCCTTTTGTCTTCATGCCTGTAGTCATGAGACTATACAAGTTCCTCTAACATTTTAATTCATTCTTTCCTGTACTTAGTTTTTCTCATAGTCATGCAACCAGTTGGCTTTGTGCATTTCAACAAAAACCCAAAAGTCAGAGAAAAGAGTTGGAGGTTGTGACTTCTCACATCAGTTTCTGAGAAGGGAGTTCTCTGTGGACATAGAGCCAGTATTTATGGAAGCCCTTCCATGTGCCAGAAAGAGCTGGTTCTATAGATAGTCATGAGGTAGTTGTCACAAACATCATACGCATCAAATTTGCAGTTTACAGAAGACAGGATATAATAATAAATGAAAGGAAGGACATTACTGCTGCCAAAGCTGCTAAAAGCCAGTCCCCACTACTTGAAGAGGACCTACTATGTGCCAGGCACTGTTTTACGTTCTTTACGTGCATTAACTCTTAATCTTCAAACAAGTTCTCTGAGGCAGACTCTATTACTATACCCATTTTATAGATGAAGAACTGGAAGCACAGAGTTGCCATGTCACTTGTGCAAGGTCACAGGAACAGGAATACACACGTATGTGATCTCATTCTAGGGTCCAGGCTCCTGACCACTACCTTCTGCTGCCTTTTGGTCTCTTTTGAGAACACTAAGAGTGGCTACTCTGGGCTCCTTCAACGGGATTAGAAGATGTGTACTGGGCTTTCAAAGTGGAGAACTTGAGGGTATGGATAGGCAGAAAGATTGGAGCAGGGGAGTGGGGTGCACAGGAGGAAGCACAAGGTCAATGGGAAGGGGAGAGATTGGGTTTAACCAATTGGGAAGAGAGGGTAGAGGACAAAACCTGGGGAGACAGAGTGGAATTGGATAGTCTGGAGACAGATGGCTCATCAGCCTGGGTTTTGGAGTTTGTACCAGCTGAGTTGAAATCTTGATTTGCCACTTTCATGCTGAGAAACAAGGAGCAACATATCAAGCTCAAGTCTTGGTTTTCTCACTTCTAAAGCAGGGATAATGATTCTGCACCTCTCTGGGTTACTGGGAGGGTTAAACAGAACATGTACATATGCTTAGCACAAGATCTGGCATAGAAAACACCTAGTAAATTCTAGCTACTCTTATTGTATTCTCTTTTGATTGTACAGGGTCTTAAAAATCAGGCTCATTAAGTCTGATTTTGCTCCAAAGCCTTTTCACAGAAACTGCTGCATCATGCATTATGGAAGAGGGATTTATTTAAGTCAATGCCTTTGACGCCTTCTTCAGGGACTGCACTCAGCTAGTTCTTACCAAGTCTTACCTCTAAAACATATCTCCAGATTGGCATCAGATTTGGCCATGCACCTAGTTGGTGCTCAATAAATGTGATGTGATATGTGGTCAAGTGAAACAGAGCGAAACCCAGACTGCTCGCTTCATCCCACAACTATGGTTAGAAATGCTGTAGACACAGTTCTGAGCTACCTGAGCCCCACTTCTTGTCAGATGGTTCCAATCAAAACTGGAAACTTGTTTTCCTTACCTTACTTCTTGTTTTATTTCCTTCCCCAGTTATACATAAAAGGTTTAATAGCCCAGGCAGAGCAATACTTGATAATGATTCAGTGGAATTTAAGAGAAGTACAAACTGTTTATTGAGGTAACCTCAGTTTGGAGTTTAAAATAATAAAATATCCAAAAAAAAAAAAAATCTCACACTGCACCAAACTCAGAAACAAAGAGGGGGAAGGGGGCCTGTAGAATAAAATAGTTGAGGGGAAAACTCAAACTGAGAGTTCATTACCCAACATGTGAAGACTGTTGGTGTTCTTTCAGAGAGAGAGAACTGTACTTTTCCTCCTTGAGTAAATGGGGTGGGGAGTGGGGAAGGAAAGAGAGTAAAATAGTGCTGAAATTACTTACATGCATGGCTAGAATGCTCCTTGGGACTAACTCTCTGTATTGTCTAATGGTAAAGTGCCATGTTTTTATTCTCATGAGATCATCAAAGGTGAACTCCAAGATCAGTCTGCCTTCTGTACACACCTAGAAGCGACAAACAACACACTCATTTGCTGTGCACTTTGTCAATGCCACACTTTTGTAACTCACACGTCAGCTGCTCAGCGTGGTCTCCCTGACTGTCCTCGGACGCGCTGGATCTTGGCAAGGATGTGCTTTATGCACGACATACTGAGACAAGTGTGAGCTCTTGGATCCATGGGTTCAAAAGACAAGACAGCTGCTTACTCGCCATGAGCTACAAGTAACTTGACTGGTTGTTGCCAAAACTCCATGAGCCTCTGTTTCCTCATTTGCAAATATGGGAACAAAACCTATATTATTGCAGCATTATGTCAAAAACTCCTGACACACAGTGTGTCCTTGCAAAAATCATACTCTCCCACCTCCTTATCTCTGTTTTCATCATCCTTCTATCCTCAGAGCTTGAAATCCTGTTCTAATCATGGTAGACCTACTCTGGGAGAAAGTACCTAATAAAATAATTCATGCTTAAGTAGGACTTACTACAAGGTTATCCAAACAGAGGAAGTTTTCATTTTCAGGGACAAATTCCAGGGGGACAATGTGTAACCCAAGGCAGCTGGGATCAGTTATTGGCATGTGAGAAATAGAGGCATGCTATCAGCAGTGACAAATTTTGCTTGGATAAAAGGCCAAGTTTTGGGGGAAGGGGTGGTATCTTTCTAAGAAAAATATGTATTATTAAAGAAACATAGAATTTATGAGGCTCTCTTCCTTGACAGAGTGATCATTTTTTTCTTCTTTTGATATTCAGATCATTTTTAGCATGTAGTTCCTATTTAATTTACCTATCTTCTTTCATTAATGACTTTGAAATCGGAGAAATGTTAGGCAATCGGACACCATGGATCCTATTTCAACTAAAAAATAGGAAGTAGTGGGAGCATATTGGTCCAATTTAAATAGTTACAACAAATCATTCAGTTCATGTTTGCTTTGGAATAGACAGAGGCTTTGACATCAGAAAGTGCTAGATGCACACCCTAACTCTACTTTTACTTATTTTGGAACTTTGAGAAAACCAAGTAAATTCCCTAAGTTCCCATTTCCTCATCTGTAAGATGAGGGTAGTACTAACCTTCTGTAGGGATGCTGGGTAAATATATGAATGATATTGTATGTGTAGATTGCCTGGTATTATACATGGCACGTAGTAGGATGGCAGCAAATAATAGTTCTAAAGATAAAAAGAATGCAACCCAAAAATGCAGAACCCTGCCACTAGTGGTCATCATAATGTGCTCTCTGAGACCCAGGGATCCAAGGAAGTGTCTCAGGGGCTCTGCTGGGAAGAATTTGGCCTCTATATAGACCATGTGATCTCCACCCATTTTCTCGATTTGACCAGAGCAGCTTCAGTTTCATCCTTTCAAGGTATTGGACTTCTGAACGAGTTTTTTGGAGAAATGTTTCCTATGCTAAAAGCAAATATACACAATTTTGGAAATCAATGCACTACACAAGTTTTAAAAATCATAAATAACAATTAACTCACTAGGAGGGTATGCTCATTTCTAAAACTATAGTCCATGAAGATAACTAACAATTTATTTCAACCTTTTTGAGATATTAATAACCACTTCTTTCTTTGGGAATTTAATACAGAAGGCCACCATTTATTGAGTTCCAACTATGTCCTAGGCAGTGGGCTGTGTGCTTTCTATTTATTCTAATTTAAGTTAGCATTTTCTTTATTATTTTTTAAATGGTATTTTTTTTAATTAAAAAAAAATTTTTTTTAGAGAGAGAGGAAATGTGTGAGAAGAGGGGGAGGGGCAGAGAAGGAGTTGAGAGAATCTTAAGCACATTCCAAGCCCAGCATGGAGCCCAGTGGGGGGACTCAATTGCAAGACACTGAGATTATGACCTGAGCCAAAATCAAGTCTGATGCTTAACTGACTGAACCACCCAGTTGCCCCAGTAATATTTCTTTGAACAAGCCAAATACCAGTAGAAGGAGTGTTAGTAACATGTGTTGCAAGGGCACTACTTAAGAAAGATGCTATTGATGTCCACCATTTTCTTTTTTTTCAAAGGTCTCAGAAGCACTGTAGGATAATTATTGATAACTGGGTGAAGATCTCCAGCTCAGACTCCACTAACAGAATCCATGGGTAATTTTAGGCATTTAGACACCTTGTCCTAAACCTCTTCAATTGAGTGGTCTTCAGAGCTTCCTTCCTGGCATCTTAGCCATGAGGGTTGTGCACTTGGAAATGGGGGAAGACTTTCTAGAACAAACCACTCCTCTAGAACATTCTTAGCATTGGAATTAATTCACCAAGGTTTTCAAAGGGGTTGCATGGAGATTAAGCTACACAATTCCCTCCAGAAAGTTAGTATGACAGAAGCCACCTGCAGCGAAAGCTTTCTCAAAAGGGAGGTGACTGCAGGCATCCAGTGACAGCTGAAATGTCTTGACAGCAGAGGACAAGGATATTTGGATGCTATAATCTTTTTTTTTTTTTAAAGAAGGGGGATTATTAGATGTTTAAATAAATATTAGCCCAGTTAAATGTCATGCTTTTTTCTTATCTAATCTATTTGTTTTGTGTTTATGAACCACAAACCCAAGACAGATGGAGGTTCTACTGGAATAGAATTCCATAATAAGAAGGCATAGATGGAGTCCTTCCGACGAGGTACTCAACTGGAGGATCTGTAAAGTCAGGTTAAATTGTATTCTCTGTTTACTGTGACAGAGCAAACCAGTTGAGGACACTTCTTGCCTTCGAACTGTCACGGGCCTACAAAAGGGAAAACTGCAACAAGCCTTGGGCTCCTCCCTTGTAAGCCCAAACCAAGAAATCAGCCTTATCCAGAGCATATCACATGCAAGAGAGGAATCCTTAAAATTGAATCTGAGTTGACTGTGAAAATTAAATGACTTCCTTGAATGGAAGAACAGAGGAGAATTTGGTCACTCTTGTGCTCCCTCAAGGTAGTTTTTTTTACCCATGGCCTTCTCCCAAGCCCTATTCAGCCTCCCTTCCTGCCCCCATCATGGAAGTTAAAGGAAACTAAAGGCCTTGTGATTTATTCAACATGCAAATATCAGCAAATGGAATAGAGGCGCCTAAGGGGGGGGGAATAAAAATATATATAAAAAAAATATATATATATATATATATATATATATATATTCATATTCCTTGTCTGGAAATGGTAAAAAAAAAAAAAGACAGTTTATAAAGGAGAATTAATATTTTCTCTTTTCAGAGAAATTCTGTGCATTCCTCTTAATCAATACAATTAATGTAGCTTTTATCTAAAGTTGGCCCTTTTTTTTTTTAAAGCTGCCTTTCACTTGGAATCCAAAATCTAAAGGGTCCCCAATTAAGAAAACATTTTCTGTTGTGCTGAATTCATGTTACCGTACTGTGAGCTCTGACATTTTGTTTCTGTGGTAACCAAAATCAGCTGATTAGTTGGCATGGCAACAGAAAAGATGTAATCCCAGCAGACACACTCTAATCAATGCCCCCAGCACAGATGGTCTCCGGAGGATCAACAAGAAAGAGGCTGGCAGGCATTCAGTGGATCACGTGCTAGCTTGAGACTAGGCCAGGAACAAGAGAACTAAAAAAGAACATTTCTCAAACTAACCGGTAGCTTTTTAACCCTTTTCTTTCTCTAATTGTAAAGCAATGTTGACCATGCTGTTGTAGAATACAAATGATGTTCATAGACCTGTTATGAAAGAAAATGTGCTTTTTAGGTAGAAGTGTTTACTTAGTTTTCTTGGTGTTTATGCATGAAATACTGCTTTCAAATTAACAATTGCATAAAGCTCATTGTATTTTATGTGGAAATACTGCATATGTAAATACATATGTATACATATATGAAAGCAATATGATCATTGATATTATACTAATTCAACTGGAACAGAGAAAAGGGTAGAAATAGATAAATCCTGGACTATAATGTTGCAGACAGGCTAAGATAGGAATGATGTCAACGACATGAATGAGCATTCATATAGGGAAAATGGCTGAGGCACTTCAGGGTACTTTCCTATAGTCATAAATAATTGTGTAATAAATTAATTGAGACCAGAGAAAACATAAAGCCATGTTTACAGAATGATAAGAGTGTTTGGTCATGGCTGTAACTATGACATTAGTTTGTAAAATCTAAAAGTAGCCCTATGTGTACCCCAGGGAGGCTCCTCTCAGCATCTGTCCGTATTCACACCCTCAAATATAATTCAAGGGTCTTGGATTCTGAAAACCTTGGTGATTGCTCTTCAGATTATTAAACTTTGTTTTCAATTTGATTCAAAATTGAATACAGAAAAGAAAGGCTTCATAATGTGTGTTTTAAAACTCTAATTACATATTTATCCATAATCTATAGTGTTCCTAGGATCAGGAAATTGCAAAATGTGCACTATACTCCTGAGGAATATTAAATATTACCATTGATTAGGACTGTGGCTGATATTTGATTCACCAGTTGACCAAATTTTCATAAAAGCAACTCAGAACCACTGGGTCAAACGCTATTTGGGGAATTAGAGTGTATTGATAGTCTAAATTAGAACAATGTGATGTGCTTGTACATAATGTGCTAAAGTAATTCCATGTATAGTGGGGCTCCCCTTTAAAAATAAAGCAGCAGCTTCCAGACTACATTTTTCTTTGTGCTACTGAAGGGTCATTAGCTCACTGTTTTATACTAAATACTCACATTATTTTATTACACGAAGATGGGTTATTTTTAATTAATATAAGTACAAAAGAAAAATTGGAAGGATTCTTTGGGTAGTATCATAATCACCAAGGTGGGGGGAAGAGAAAAAAAAGTAAAAAGAAAAAAATGAATGCTTTAGAATTTTCTAAAAATAAATGTGCATAATTAGCATCTGGACTAAGCCCACATAGCTAAGCTGCATTTCCCAGAAAGTGATATTTTTCATCACAGTATGGAAATATTCATTACAAGAGTTGGGAGATGTACTGCCATGGAGTAGAGGGAGAGGTGACCTAAATAACTGAGGCTTGAGGTGAAAGATCTGAGTTCAGGAGGTTGTTCTGGTCTTCCCCAGGGCCATCTGAGAGGGAAGCATTCCTGGGTGAGGAAAAACTGCAACCAAGGGAAATCTTAGCTTCTTGATTTGAGTGAAAAAAGGCACTTCATCAGAAGAATGGGATTTTTAAAAAAAAATTTAAAACTCATCCTGAATATATATCATTTTATCTTCAGAGCAGTTGACTATGCTCATTTACGAAAAAGTTGTGGCCTGGAATGAAAGAAATTGAGAAAATATAAAGGACTACCTTTTATTATACAATTTACAGTTATATAAAATGTTACACATGTTATTTTAAAATTATTTATTGTTATATAATTTATGGTAAAATATTGTATTAGTGTGTTTATATAAAATATTTTATGCTTTATAAAAGGAATGCTGCAAAAATGCATTTTTATTTTCAATGGCTCTAGGTTTTGGAAGTAGCTTCTTCATTATAGCCATTTTATTTAATTCTCATGGATTTCTTTTTTCCTGTAAAGCATAAGGAATTGGCATGTTTTTCTTGATTACCTAAACATAATGCTAAGCCTAGACAAAAACAAAACAAACAAATAAAAACTGAATAATGAGCTAGCAGAGAAATCCTTTCTCTGTGGGTCTCTGACTTCCTAACTTTTGAAATAGGTGGTGTTATCCAACTGAGATACAAGATTATGTAAATATTTTACATCTCCAAAATGAAGTGAGACATGCACAGATTAAACCATCATCCAGGTGATCATTCCTTTCCATGTAACAAAACTCTCTTCCCAGCATGAACATCTACATACAGTGGGAATGAATATTCTTTGTGCCTGATTGGCAACCTTCCTTTCCATTCAACTGTTAAAAAGGAAGAAAGAGAAAAACCCAACTTCTGCCCCACATTTAAAATGTCTATTGACAAAATTAAGATACCATGAAATCAATGACATTTGATGATTTGCTTTTGCATTTTTTCACCATTTCCTTTGCCCTTTTTTTTTTCTTAATATATCATCATGAGCAATCAGGAAGATGAAGCTGCACCAACAAGATCAATGGATACTTTAAATGATAAACATTTTATTTTTATATGTGTGCATACAAAACTGTGCATAAGTAACAAACATATCTTCAGTCTTGTAATTTGGGCTTTTGCAATTAACCCTGATAATTTAAGTTCTCAACTATAAAGAGAGGATTGTCATGTGTGTTTTCAACTAAAAGAGATAGCTGCTGTCATTAATATTATAGATTAGTTTCACACTGAGTCTTCATCACAATGCACTAACTAGTGTTCATTCAAGTAAACTGTTTGTCAGATTCTCTGGCTACATATTTGTTCTTACTAATTTTGCTACTTGGGAGAGGACATAAAGGAATTGTCTGTAGTGTTCTAGAAAGGTCTTTGCCCGGAAGGAGTATTTCCCCATGTTGATTGTCTGTGGATGGGAAGGGTCATAGGTGTAGAACGTACAGAAGACATTTTCTTTCACTTCATATCCTTCAAATTGTGCCTCAAAGATCATGTTACCCAGTCCTCCACCCAACACCCTCCCCTGTGTTTCTCATTTTCTCACAACCAACTTTGACTCTACTGTGCTCACTTGCTGACTGACCAACCACAGAACTTCTCAGAATTTGGGGAAACAAATTTTAAACTCTGAATTCTCTAGTTACATTTATATTTTTATATTTTTATGCTCCTTAAAGATTGCAATTAGCTGAGTTGTAGTTAGTTGCCTTTTTTCCCATTTATTAACATTTGAACTTAGCTTTAAAAAATATTTAATTTTAGAAACAAAACACAAATACTGACCACACAACAATGGGAGAATGTTCTTTTAGATGTAGAAGATTATTTGTTTTCTAATTTAGCAACCTGTCTCTTAATTTTGCGGGTCTATCATATTTGCTCTGCATCACATGCACACATCTTAGAACAATGTTCACCAAGTGTCTAGCCATGTCACAAACAAAAGAGATTATCTCATAGCACTGACAGTGTCTGAGATGTAAGAAATCAGCTTAAAGTTCCAGAAGAAAAGCATAATTATTGTCCTTCAGTATACCCACAGAAGCACAAGCCATGTTGCTGAGTATGTCCTGTACCTTGGTAAACATGGGCTTCCCATGCTGGGTGACCATAGCACACTGGTCGCAGTCCACTGTGATGGATGAGTTGTGGTATGACTCTTTCGAGTGTTTGAGGATGTAATACAGGTCGGTGACCCCTCCTTCAAACACAGTGCTAAAGTAACGAGGGATAAGAGTCCTGCCAATAGCTGGGAAAGAAACACAGAGAAATAAAACATTAACAAAAGAATCCAATGGTCCCATTCAACCCACGCCATTGCCAGACTTCCAACTGGATACAAATCATTTCAAGAAACCAATCATACAAGGAGGTAAATTTCTTTCTTTTGTAAACAGCCATGACCCTTCTGAGCTGCAGTTAGTGAAATAAAATCCCCAACTGTTCAGTAAAAATTTGTACATTCATCTCTACAGATTTTGTATTCATTGAAAGTCAATAATGTAAGGGTTGGTACTTTAAAACTAACAGGAACAACAACCACAACATCAAATATAACAGGAACAAAAGCAATGACCACTGTGAATTTCCTAAGTATCCTCTAAATGAATATATTTAAAAAAAAAATAAAACACATCCAATCAAATTGGATTTTGCAGTGAATTGTTTATAAGCCAATCATCCAATCATGTATTATTAGTAATAGTAGTCATAATGTAAATTTTGATAATGTAATGCTTTGCAGTGTGTTAAGTATTTTGGGATTCTTTCATTGAATCTTCAGAACAACCTCAAGGTAGTGGGGAACTGGAAACCAAAAGGATTATTATGTCAAAAAAAGGTCATTAGGACTGTATCAAAGTCACATGACTTATAATAAGTAGATAATTGGGGTCTCTACCTCCAAATCTGCAAACATTTACTCTTTTCAACACTGTCTCCAACTGCTTTAATGATTGAGAATCTGCATATACAAAAAGGTCCATACCTGTGTAAATACTGATTATTCTATTGCTTCTGGAGTTGGATATCTTTCTAGAACAAAAGACCAATTTTAAGATAACTTGATACCTTCTACTTGTTCTAAATTGGTCTCTTTGATTCCATGTGTCCTGCCCTACCCCATTTTAGTTTGCACGATCGGTAAGTAGCTGGGTCTCTCTGATATATGATGCTTAGAAACACCTAACAAGCCCTTGCTTTAGCAGAGATTTTAAATCCTCTTAAACTGAAAATCCCAACTCATAATATCAGGAATTTTGCCTATGTGCAGATTTTGAGGCAAAGTACTAAAGCACTCTCAAGCAATCCAAGGTTTTTAATAAATCTCTTACATTCACTATATAATGCCTCCTGAAAGACAAAAATAATATTTAAGATAAATAAATTACCAAAGAGAGCTTTAGTAGGAAAGATCATACAATATTCACTTCAATGTTTTAAAATGTTTAATTTCATTTTAAAAGAATCAATGTTAATCCATTCCATATGGATCTATATCTCTTTTGTACATGGATTTGGGGGAAAAAAAACTATAAAAAGAATATCCTGCCAAACTGTTTTCTGAAGTAATCTCTAAAGAATCCTGCTGTGGATGACTGGTCTCTGAATAATTTATATAGTTGTTATTGCTTTGTATTTATTGCAGTAAAATCAATCAACAAGTGTGTATTAAATATTCCAGGATTTTTGGCAATTCCATTCTAAATAATCCTCACACATACATTTTCCAAACACTGCTTAATCCCCAACAGCGCATGTTCATTTGCTAAATATGAAATTCAAACAAGAGTGATTTGAGTCCACCATGTCTTTAAATGTACACACAGCTGAAATTATAAGGAAAACTTTGTTAATGCGAAAAACCTTATTGTACTTTTCTAAACAGATAAAATTAATTTAATGCATTTCAAATAGTCTAACCTAAAACTAATTTCCATAAAACAGCTCTAGTAATTTGACATTTGGGGATCTGTACTGTGGAGAATAAATACAAACCATAAAAATGTAGATGAAAATATTTCACTACAATATCCAAGGAATTGTCACATTAAAAAGGTTACTGCAAATAAACATCACTGGATTAGCCACATTATAGCTTATTCATCATGAATCCTGCACCATTTCAATTCCTTTGTAGTAATATCTACTATATATTATCATCATTTTCATTCACAGAATAAAAAAAATTGAATAGGGATAAAAGTTGCAACTTCTTAACTTTAAACCTCAATTTTTAATTACCTTTCCAACTCCAGAAAATGTACAAACTATATAGTAAATATACTTAGAGGAAAATGTAGCTTTGCTTTATTTAGTATTTTCTAGCACTCTTGAAACTGATTGTTAGGGATACCTGAGGTTTGTGTTCAGCCCCTTTTCTTTATGGGAACAATATATTTCCCCCATGGTCTTGTGTTGACCATCACTCACAAAACTCCATTATCCACTGTGGTAGACTGCTACCGGTGGTCCCAATGAACCAGGACAATTGCATTCACACCTTTGTGGATGTAGTCTCCTCTCCTCAAATCTGGACTGGGCTCTTGATCCATTTTAATCATTAGAATGGGACACAAGTGACCTCGTGTCAGTTTTGGGCTAAATCTTAAAAAGGCTTAGAGGGGCGCCTGGGTGGTTAAGTCATTGAGCATCTTCCTTCAGCTCAGGTCATGATCCCAGGGTCCTGGGATTGAGCCCTGCATCTGGCTTCCTGCTCCACAGGAAGCCTGCTTCTCCCTCTCCCACCCCCCCTGTTTGTGCTCTCTCTCTCGCTGTGTCTCTATCAAATAAATAAATAAAATCTTTTAAAAAAAAGAAAAAGAAAAAGAAAAAAAAGAAGAAAAAAACAAAACAAAACAAAACAAAACGGCATAGAGAAGCTTGTACTTTGCGCCCGGGTGAGAAGTCAGAGACTATGTACGAAGTTCAACTACTCTAAGACTGCTGTACTGTGAGAAGCCCAACCAACTGAGGCAGTCACATGAAGAACTGAGTCTTCGGGCTGACAACCCCAGTGAGCTACCAGCAAACAGCCAGCACCAACCTGCATGAGTGAGGCCATCTTGGAAGTGAATCCCTAAACTCCAGTTAGCTGCCTCAGGCTGGTATCACATGAAGTGGATATAAGCTGTCCCCCATAGTTTTGCCCAAATTGCAGAAGCATGAGTAAATAAATTAAATGTTTGTACTTTTAGCCTCTAAGTTTTTAATGTAACAATGGAAAAACACAGCACCTCTCAACCTCCTAAGCTATAAAGATGGGCAAATTAGAATCCTCTCCTGAAAGACAAAGAGGGCAGTCTTGCCACTAAAAATGTGTATTATAGAAACACAGAAACTTGCATAGAAAGGAAAGCATATTAGAGAGACAGAAAGTCTTTGTGGACTGATTTAGTACCTCTTAGGACTGAAACCCAGTTCCATCCCTTGGAGGTCCTGCTTCTGTGAGAAGTGTACCTCCTGCTTCTTTTGCTTAAGTGAGTTTGTGTTAGTTTTCTGTCATTTGCAAACAGATGAACCCTGATTAATGCTGTCCCACTGCACTGGAGCATGGACGGGGTAACAAACGCTAATGTAAAAGAAAAAGGAAGTGATGAGAAAAAATTAACTATAAGAGATAGCTGAGTCTTTTTGTGCAACATCCTGTGTCAGTAGCTGTATTCGTCTTCTATACCTGCTGTAACAAATTACTACAAACTTAATGGCTTAAACTCTCTTTATTGATTATCTCATAGTTCCTGACAATCTGACATGGGTCTTGCTGAGCTAAAATCAAGGTGTCAGTAGGGCTGTGTTCTTTTCTAAAGGCTCTAGGGGAGAACCTGTTTTCTTGTTTTTTTTTTTTTTTTTTTCAAGGATCTAGGAGCTGGCTGCTTCCTTGGCTATGTCACCTTCCTACATCATCCACCAGCAATAGTGGTTGGAGGTTTCGTTGTCTGCCTCCCTCTTCCACTTTTTCGGACCCTTGTGATTGCATTGGACCCACCCAAATAATCCAGATAATCTACCATCCCAAGTTAACATATTCACAGTTGCCAAGGATTAGTACTGGATGTCTTTGGGCACCATTATTCCACAGAGTTTTTATTCTACAAGGGAATATATACAAAATATAACACACACATGACAAGCAGTATATAGATAATGTGCAGTGAAGGGGACAAGTAACAAGAAGAAAAAAAAATCACTTGTGCTTGAGGAAATCACTCTATAACTCATTCATTGATTTCTTCTATAAACATTCACTGAGCTCAGAGTAGGCGTAAAGCTCCTTGGTAAGTGCTAGAAACAGAAAAATAGATTTTTGTCCCTGTCTTCCACTTACTTCTAACAAGAGAGTTAACAAATATGTAAGCATCTATAATACAATGTGATAATAGTTAAAAAAAAAAAAAAGAATTTGTGATTTTTTTTTCTTCGAATTTGTGATTTTTGAACTCTTTGCCAGTTTCTTCTGAATCCCAATTTCAATGTACATCTATATTATTTTTGAAGCACTGAGAAGATTAAAATGTCCTTTTAATTTAGTAAATCATGCAGCTGCACTGCACAGCCTAATAGACATGACTTTAAATCAGTGAATGCTTCAGAGTTAGATATGGTGGTCCCATAACTCATCAGGCACACCAATTCTGAATCTATTCAAATTTTATACTGTCATATTCATATGCTACACTTACACTTTACATTTATACTTTAATCCTTGGAATTAAAAATAATTTAAATATTGATATACCTAAATCGACATTGTACTCCCACAGAAAGGATTACATCTTCAAATATTCTTGTATAGAGATTAAGACTACAGTAGATTATAAAAGAAATTCAATTTTTCTTACACATTTAGGTCAAAGTTCCAAAAGTTGGGAAGGAGAAATATGGTAAGCATGATACTACAAGATTTTCTATGAGTGAAATATAGGGAGGTTTGATACAACATATATAATTCAGCTATACTCTTACAAAAGACAAGAAAATGACAGATTAAATTATTCAGGAGCCTGAAATGTGTATAAAGAAAGTCTAAATAATACTCTACATTGTAGGTAAACATTTAGAGTTGGCTAAAAATTTACTCATAGCTAATTTAGATATTAAGCTCTAAATTCCAGTTCCTTGAGAGGTTTTATTGTTGTTCTGTTTTGTTCCCAACCTTTGACCCCATTCTCCAGAAGTTTTTGCTATTGGAGTTGATAGGCTGATGGTTCTGGGGAGCAGTATCTAACTCACATCTTTTCTCATAAGTGA